GGGAGGGGGGGGCAAATAGGCTGGGACAACGAGGCTTTAGGGGAAAAAAAGTTGGCAAAGACAGTGCAACTTTCTCAATGCAAGTTAAGAGAAAAACTGGAGAAGGTTAGGAAGAAACCCTGGAAGCTAAAAGAAGACATTTCAAGAGAAAACATTCAAAAGTGAAGAAGGCAAGTGGCCTTTAGTTTCAAGAAATTTCAGTTTCGAGTTTTCACTCCATGACAGTCCTTGCTCTCTTCAAATTCTACACACACACACACACACACGACCAACAACTTGCCAGTTCAAGATCACCAACACACTATGACACAAAAGGGCATGAGAAACTTGGGGGGGGAACATTTTGGTGGGCTGTGCTGGGGCAAAATCATTTCTTTTCTGATCTGTAATAATTCAGCAGAAGCATCTGGGGGAATCTCTGGGTTTGGCAGTAATGTTTTTTGAGGGCTACATGCAGCTCCAAGGTTTCAGATGGTGTACCTGGAAATACAAAAAGTCTTTGCCCACTGACAACTGGACTTTCTGAGTATTTATCTCTAAAATACATGAGGAAAGGCTGCGTTTCTCCAGTAATACTCTCCAATGAAGGCACAAGCTATTCACGAAACATAAAGGGCAGGGGCCACAGTTGGAAAGTCGGCACATAAACCATAATACGGCGACAAGAGTCTCTTGGGTTTAACATGGACCTGCTTCCTATGAAGGGACATGGTGCTGCTTTTTAGTTTGCAACTGCTACACAAGCCACCCAGGCTCTAAGATCATGTGTGACACATATGGCAGCAGTTCAGATAAATAAGTCAGTTAGGAATTGGTACCAGTTGTTTCCCACCTGCCCTCCATTCTGGCCATTTGTCTGCAGAGCCCAATCCAGTCAAAACTGACTGGCAGCTGGTTTCAGGCAGGGAGGGACTCTTCCCCAAATGTATCTAGAAATGGTAAGGATTGAATCCAGGACTTTGGGCAGGCAAAACCCAAATAATAACAATAACAGCTTTACTTGGAGCAGCTTACATCCTGCGACGATACCTTTAATATTGTTAAACAACAGCATCTGCCTATCCCAGGTCCTTGGGAGGGACTCCATAGGTGGATAAAAATGCCAAATCCAGTCTAAACACCTGGCGGACTGTGTGACCAACCATTATAATATCCTGACCTCATAATTTTGAATAAAGAACAAATGTATCCGGGATCACTGGAAGCTGCCCCACTGGTCCACCGCCTTCAGTATTACACTGGTTGGGTTCACACACTGCTATATTCTTTGGGTCCCCAATGTGCTACGAAGACGCCACTATGTGCCCAACAGCCTATTTCTTCATACTCCCCAAACTCCCTGCCCTAATTTTATTTTTAAGATTATCTTAATTAAAAAAAAATCATGCTGTAAAGCAAATCATCAGCCTCAAGTATAACTGGTGTTTCTAGCAATGCTTCTGGACCCACATGGAGTCTAGTGGTATTTGCTAAAAAGATCCTGGTGGGCACATACCGGGATGTTTTATTTACCTTTGGGTGTGTGAGGTTCTCTGTCCATACCAGCATGGTAATAATTTTGTGAGATTACCCACAGCATTCACTTCCAAATGTGTCCATCATCCCGAAAAGGTAGGGGACCTCTGTGCTAGCCAACAGCTTGTTTTAACCATGATTTATTAAATAAGCCACAGTGGCTGAGACTGCAGGTGCTAAACAACAAACAAAACAAACTCCATATGGTAATTAGCACAGCTGAGCAACCCAGCCACTGTCTGACTGCCCTGTCGGGGATCTCTCCCATCCCTGTTTAGAGAGGGCCAAAATCTGAGTGTCAGTGTTTTACCTTCCAAGTTGTGGTGCCTCCTTCTCATTTTGCATGAATAAATTTGCAACCAAGGATGGCTGGATGCAGAGAGAAAGAGATGAAAAACTTGCAACAAGGCCCCAATGGATGTTACTGGCATGCAAGTTGAAGATAAGGGACAGCGGGACCAACAACCGAATTCAGGACAAAGTAAAGGATGGCTCAACAGGGACCCTATTCACTCTGAACTCCTAGCTAGCAAATCAACCGATTTCTTCTTTTAAAATTGGGGCATATTTTGCACAGAGCATGAAGTGAAGGGCATTTTCCCAGCAACAAAAAAGAGATTGCAAATGGCTCCTAATTACTGATTCTCCTTCTACCCTATTAAGGGATCCCCTTAACCCTCTCTCTATGTAGGCGGCAATGATGCTGTATCAAAGTTTTCACCTTGTACACCTCAGCTGTTCTATCGGCTCCTGTTACACCAGAGTCAACTACAAAGGGAAAGCTTCATTCCAGTGGATGCCGTGCACCCAGCCTTATCCCATGTCCATTTTGGGGAAAGAGAGTTTTCATACAAGAGCAATACCTTGAGACACGGTGAAACCAGCAGTTTATTACCCTCATCTTAGATATCTGCTGCTTAGTGCAGTTCTTTATTTCCTTATTACAGTAATTTTTATGCCACCTGCAAACACTTCACCTTTCCCTGGAGCCACAAGCCAGTGGACATTGCTCTTATGTTAGTGACCCACAACTTGGTGCTCTCAATACAGTCTACTCCAACTCCCAGAATCCCTAGCCACAGCTGGCTATGGATTATTGAAGGCCAGCTTGGGAGAGCCTGGTTTGTGTGGGCCAGAATATCTGTCAGCAGAGCCAGAAAGCTTCCTGCTGCAACTTCTTCTATCTCATCACCACTTGTTGATATCATCCATTGCAAAAGACTGGGCTGGCGGTGAATGCGTTACCCTTACGTGTTTGTGACTCATGCTGCATATAAATTCACAGAAGTTAGTAGCCCACTTGCAACACAAACATGTGTGCGCACACACAATGACAGTGATTTGTGATAATGGGAAATTGTTCTCTTTTTTTGGCTTGGTTATTCTCAAGCAATCCCTAGCCAGCCTAGGCAACAGGATGCAGCCAAATGTCCTCCCACCCCGTCATATAAGACATTTGATGTCTTATTTGACTTGACAGACAGGTAGTACTCCAAATAATACCCATTTTTGTTTACTGATGTGCCCATCTTAAAAGATCATTAGTCCATTAGTGGGCAACTTACATATACTAGTTATTTTTGTATTGGCTAGGACAGAAAGAAATCCACAGCTTTTGTAAAGCTATTTCACCAAGTTACCTGGAGGGAAATCTCAATTCACCACCATACTGAGTTTTAGGGTGTTGTTTTTTTTTTTTAAACAGTGCTGCTTTTAACATTTACTATTTTCTTGCCTTACAAGGTTATACGTAGAAACAACCTCTCACAGACAATTTATTCTCTGTGCTCAAAGACTGGAAAGGCATATTTGCACTGGCTGCCCCCAAGTGTGTTTAGGTCCATCCCTCTCCCTTAAAGAAAAGAAGACCAACCTGGGATAATTCAGGCAGTGTCTTTTCCAACATGGATATCTGTGACAGAATTTTATCACATATTGACTGAACCACCTCCTGCTTGAAGACAGGCAGAGAAAAGGGAGCTTGTTGGGCAATTACTGCTTTCTTTCGCCACTGTAGGGAAAGTTACAGGAAGAAAAAAAAAAGTAGAAATGAGTTCCATTTTAAGGTACAAGAAAAGAGTCAGGCATACACCCAAGTTTCCCAGAGAGGACTCCATAACTGTGTCAAAAGGAAAGTCTGTTGTCCAGTTAAAGGAATCTTCATTTATCCCACAGATTTTCATCCATCACTATAGTCTGCATTCAAGTAATGAGGAAATGGCCGGAATTGATATGGGAGAGGGCATCATTTGTTTTTAGACCATACTGGGTTATGTACCATCTCACCCTTCTTTATCCATCTGGCCCAGAAATGTCAGATTTTCTCCTGACAGGTTGTTTCCCATCTCCTGCTACCCTGTTTTTTTTTTTTTTAAAAAGATGAAATTGCCAAGAACTGAATTAGGACATCTCTGGTACCACCCTGGGAATGAGTAATCAGCAGCTTATATACCCAAACAAACAAACATATTTTTCAAAAGGTTTTTGAGCTGTCTGTGTAAATTGGGAAAGCCAATCACAATTGTGACTTTCAACAGTTACCTTGTATGAAGATATTCTTTTCAGTATTCGTTTTGCTCTTTAGGTTTTTAAATAATCAGTTTTATTCCAGTTTTGTTCTTGTGGAAATGCATCTAGCTTGGAGTTCTTGGGAATTGCAGTCCCACATATCTGAAGGCTACACCGATGTGGAAAACACCCACCGAATATGTTAGATAAATGTTTTCCACAGGAAGTGGTCATATACTATTTATTTATAGATTTATATCCTGCCTTTCATGCAGGGGCTCAGTAATGTTCTCACCTATTTTTTCCTACCCTGAGAGATAGGTTGGGCTGAGAGAGTGGCGCTGACCCAAAGTCCTCCAGGGTGCTTCTATGGCTGAGGGGGACAAAGACTGGGGTGCCCCTGCTCCTAGTCCAGCACCTTCCCCATTACACCTCTTGGCCTGAGAGGGAGGGGCTGGCCCACAATGAGCCACTGAGCTTCTGGGGCTGAAGGGGACTCGGACCTGGATCTCGGCATTCCAGGTCCAGCACCTTCTCCACTCCCTTACACTGTGCAGAGAAGGTTATCTGTACCCTTAACTACTCTGATAGGAAACTGCTCTCCAAGGGGTTGAGCAAAGATCAGACTTGCCTATAGCGGGCTACTAGAAACCCTTTTCGTTGGAGATGCCAGAGAACGCACCTGGGTTTCTTCTTTCAAAGTGCATGCTCTGTTCCCATTGGGCTATGGTGTTTCTATATTGTGTACATGGGAACAGAGATAAAGGCTTCTTGAAGAGAAAGGATGAGATAAACAATAAGCCATATACATACATGCATGCATATACATACATACATACACATATAAATTTTTAAAATTTAAAGAGTAAAATATATCTTCCCTTTGAAGGCTGAGCAGCTGAAAGTGACTAATATTTACCACGTCCGGGTAAAATACAAGCAAGCAGGAAGCACTGAAGGAATACCATCTTGAAACTTGCTTTGCTATAAGGGCAATCAGTAAAATAAAATCTTCAGCTGCCAGTAATCCTGGCCAGAAAATCCTCAGTTTACTAAATCCTAACTACTCTTCCACATCTCAAACTGTTGATAAACTATAGAAGTAATACTTAAAAGGTTTTTTTTTCCCTCCCTTCAACTCATTTGTATCCTTGTTTTCCTAAATATTGTGTTTCTGGCATTCGCCTATTTAAGTCACCCCCCACGAATCTTTATTAAAAACCTTCTCCCTTGATTTATGGGTATCTGTCACTGTCATTCTGATTTTTAAAAGGAAGTTTGATTTCATTTACCCAAACAAGTTTTAGTAATTATTATAATAATAATAGCACTAATAATAGATGAAAAAGGGGTGGAGACAAGCATGTGCAGCCTTTGATAGGAGGGAAAAAAAAGTTTTTTCTTGGAAATTGGAAAAAAAAAAACCTCAGTCCTCCAACTCACAGACTTGGGTGGCTGAAAGACCTTGGCTGCAGCCTGTAAAGGGTTAAGCCCTGCCATCTTCATGCCATTCACTGATATGTCCATTAAGGGTGTTACATAACAAAATGGCAGACCTTAACCCCTTGCTTGCCACACTTCCTTTCACTGTCAGTCACACACTTCAGCAGGCTGAATTAAAGACACCTAAGAAAAAATCCCAAAGCTGGGTGGCTTATGAGATATTGTAATTTGCCTGCAAGAAAGGAGGAGGAAACAGACAGAGCAACAGTTAAAAGATTTTTAGAAGTTTTTTAAAAAAATATGGTTTTAAAGCTTAAACTTAATGAAAAGCAAATTGAAAAAAAAATACAAAGCAGGGTGAAGAGTATAGGGAAAAAACCCCTGACTTTTAAATTTTGTTTTTTTAAAAAAAGTGGAACATTTAATGCTGACAAAACCAGCTTTTCTGGGCAGGGGAAGCAAACTGTGATTCTACAAACATGGAAATGCATTAGGTTTGCATCAGGTATGTTGAACAGAGATCTAGAACCAATAAAATTACCCCATAGTACGTGCAGATTCCCATACTCTGCCCCCATAAAAGGTGCAGATTCCCCACTCCTCAGTAGCCTCAGCCACTGAAAGCTAAGCCCACTCGTCTGCCCCTCCCCCACTTCAATTTTTGGGTCATAACCTGAATGTCTCTAGACATTCTCTAGAGCTGAACTACAACTCCCATCACTCTTCTAACAGCAGAGCCTTGCTAGGTGAAGAGATGAAAGCCATCACCTATCTCATCTGGGGGCAGTGGAAGATGGGTGCCTGGGAAATGGCTCACCTGACCCCCACATAAGCCAGATAAAGCTAATCTTCCCCAAGATAGTTATTGAAGATAGAACAAGAAGCAGTGTTTGGGGGTGTCTTTTTCCTTGAAGAACAGCACCATATGAAAACTATGGTAGGCAGAAAGTCAACAGGTGCAGTTATTTATTTATTCATTTATTCACTCAATTTATATAGCCTCTCATCTCACATACGTGGCTCTGGGCAGCTCATACTATTAAATAACAAACACCAATAAACGATTACAAATAAACAACTAAATAAAATCAGTATGTAGGATACTTTACCTGCTGAATTTCTACACAAGATGCAGGTGTAATGTTGGGCCAGTACTACTGACCCCTTCTGCTCTACACTCAGGGCTTTGTTTCTGACTCCAAACAACCTCACAGCATCTGAATTGGAAGGTGCTTTAGAGGTCACCTTGTCCAACCTCCTGCTTAGTGCAGGATCCACTACAGCATCTCTGACAGATGGCCATCCAGCCTCTGTTTGAAGAAGACCTCTAGCAAAGGAGAACTCCCTGTGTCAAGTGGGAGACTGTCCCACTGGCTCACAGCTTGCACAGTCAGGAAGTTCCTCTAGATGTTTAGCATGAGTCTCCTCCCTCCTAATTTTAACCCACTGGTTCCAGTCCTGCCCACTGGAACAACAGAGAATGTCCACTCCCTCTTCTGGGTCAGAACCTTTCAGGTAACTGAAGACGACTTGCATTTCCCAGTTGTCTTTTCTGTAGACTAATACCCAGACCCTTTAATCATTCCTCACTGGGCTTCATTTCCAGCTTTTCACCATCTTGGTAGCCCTCCTCTGAACCTGGCTCCAAAATTTTTCACTGTCCTTTTTGAATGGTGGTGTCCAGAACTGGATACACATCTCCCAACCAGGTCTGACCATGGCAGAATAGAACGGAACATTTATTTCCATGATTTGGACTCTGCTCCTGTTGATGCACCCCAACAGCATTGCCTTTTTAGCAGCTGCATCACACTACTGGCTTGTGTTTAATTTGTGATGGACAAGGACACCCAGATCCCTTTCAAATGTACTACTGCCAAACCGAGCCAGGTCTCCCCGATCCTATACTTCTGTACCTCACATTTTTCTCATCCAGATACAGAACTTTCCATTTCTTCTTGTTACGTTTCTTCTCAGCCACAGCTGGACACCTTCCTAGCCCCATGTCTCCCCACATGTGATTATGAGTCAATCCTACTGAGAGATGCAACATTTGTGGACACAACAGCATTGCAATCATGCCCTTGCCTTCATCAGTCAAAATGGAGAGATGGGGGGAAGTGTGTTGAAATCACTTGGAAGTGCAATGTATGGACCTTTTCTATGCCTATGTCCTACTCCAGCCTGTTTTTCTAATACAAAGTCTACTGAAAGTCATGTAACCAAGGTTTAAGGTATAACAAGTTAAGAAACCTCATATTCTGTGTTCACGTAACACGCCATGCTTAAATAAATAAATAACAGTACAGCTTTCTCCAGTGGTCTGATTCAAACACTATACTTTTGAGACAATGGCTGGTATCCCAGAACTTGATGAACTATAGTTACTGTTTTAGCCTAGCTCAGGGGGATTTTTTAGCCCAGCAGCCTGATTCCTAAAGTGGGGGTTTCTAAGACGCCCATAAGCATTCTATGGAATTAACAGCTTTCTCTCTTTCTGTTGTTCCCCAGCAGCTAATTACAACAGTGGTGTACACTGCTTGGAAGCATGGAGGCTCTGTTTAGTCATCAAAGGGTAATACCAGTGGAATAACTCTTCTCTTGCACTGATTTCTCTGTAGCAAACTTAATTTGCAGTCTGCTTTAAGAAGTCCATACTGGCTGAAATGCTTTATAGCTGGAGGGATGGTCTGCTCCCAATGAAAGCCATCTAAACAAGGTCATCACCATACTCTGAGGCATCATATTCTCCAAATGACCCAGCAACTTAAAGGCCTCCTCTGATTCTTGGCTACTCCTGACCCTCAACTTGTCTTGCCCCCCCCAGCAATTATACTGTTATGCTTTCCAAAGAGAGAGAAGAGGGCCCCTGACCATAACAACATATCAAAAGTTTCAATTTCTTCCAGCCAGGCAAGCAATGCAGAGCATTCTTCTTTTTTGTTCTGCTCCAGTCCAATTAAACCACCCAACTTTACTCCAGCTACGATCCACCCCTAGAGAGGGTCAAGACTAGCGACTGACATCCTGCTCTGCAGATCATCTCTCTACGAGGAAGACTACTGGGGAACTCTACAGACCAAAGTCTGCTCTGCAATTAGTAACACCCAAGCAATTAGAACACCGCCACACTCAAAAAGGGACACGCCATTGCCACATCCATCAGTTGGCTTAGGCTAGACTGCACTGGTCTCCTAACCAGCAATCTTGATCATGAGTGCCTTAATCCAGTAATCTCAGCCAAGCACCCCTCACTCCCCGCCAGTGGTTGTCAATTTAGTCAACATTGAAGCAAGAAGTTTAAGAGGCTCTCAAATTGTCTTTGAGATCCTGTTATAACCTATTAGTCTACTATGACTTTTATCTTGGCATTCTCTCTGACACTGAGCTGAAATTAGAATTATTCCATTTTTTTTGCAACAACAATCCTTTTGGTTAGGGTTAGAGAGCAGAAATCTGCAAACTGTGATTGGCCTACTCAACAACAACAAAAAGGCATTCTGGATCAACCTGGCCCCATCTCTCATCTTAGCTGTGACACTTTAGGGGTATGTGTGTGATCCAAGCACTTTTGAAGTTTTGCAATGTGTTTGCGGACGCACATTTTGTTCTCTTCTTCTGTAGATTCACACGGAAAGAAGTTTATTCCTGCTGCACTGAATCCTGAAAATGGTCTGTGAAATCAGTTCAGTTTCCAAACTTCTTTGAACTTAACACAAAGCCTTAGCAAACTCCCCTGCCCCTGGAGAAACTGGAGACCCTGAGATCATAAACAATGTTTGAAAAGATTTACAAAATGGTACGAGTATCTATGCATCAGGTTTCAAGCAGCAAAGACCCTGAAAAGCATGTTGCTGGTAGCTAATCATACCATTAACAAATTCATTTAAATTCATATAAACTTCCATGATTAAGTCCCACCTGGAAGCATTCCTACTGTTAGGACCTAGCCTTGATGAAGGAGGAGCAAATTATTACACTGCACTAAATTATACAGTGGAACCTCGGGTTACGAACACTTCTGTTAATGAACTTTTCGGGTTACGACCAGCTCCGGCCGCAAAATTTTGCCTCGGTTTGTGAACTCCGCCTTGGGGTACGAACAGGATACATGGCCATTTTCCCTCCCGTGACACGGTCCACGGCCATTTTTCCGCCCCTGACACATGGTCCGCGGCCATTTTCCGCCCCTGACAC